CACTCAACAATAAAAAGGAACGACCTGTTGCTACATGCAACAATTTGGATGACTCAAAGGCATTATGGTGAGTAAAACATGCCGGTCTTGGAAGGTTACTTATTAGGCAATTCTATCTGTAAGATAGTTTGCAAATACAAAACTATAGTGAAGGAGAACAAACTGGTGGTTGCCACATGTTAGGGTTGGAGAAGAGAATTACTGTAAAGGGATAGATAGCGAGGAGAGTTTTGGGGTGAGGAAATGTTCTGTGTTTGGGGGCGGTTTTTTTAGGAGCGGAGATTTAATAAGCAAAAGAAAGAAAAAGGAAAAGGAAAACAGCTCTCTCTCGTGAGAGACAGGGGACTTCCGAGAGGGAAAGACTCTTGTTCTGTGTTTTGATTGTGGTATTGGTTATGCAAATATATACCTGTGTTAAAATTCATATAATTGTGTACCAAAAGGTCAATTTTACTGTATGACAATTAAAAATATATGTATATTTAAACAGAGAAAATTTGGAGATAGGGCATAAAAGCACACACTCTGGGAATCAACAGACCTGGGTTTCTTTATTCCATTCTTGATTTCATGCCTATGTTTGTTTATCTCTAAGATGAAGGTTTTGGAGTCAGATCACAAAAGGCCCTTCTTGTCCTTCCTACCCTGATGTTCCTTAATTCCACAGATCTCCAGACATGATCACATGTACATCTACTCATGAGCATACACACTCATGTCCCCATGCAAACAGATTTTTCTCTATGTTACCATGGCCCCAGCTCCCCTTATCTCAGAATCCTTCCCTTAAATAATTATTTGATGGTGTTTGCTGGAGAGTAATGGGAAGTGAGGAAGAAAGGCCATCAGACATGCTGTCCTGAGGTGTTGCCTAGCCCTCTACCTTCATTAGGCATGCTTCCAATAAAGCCAAGGAAATTCCTGACCCCACTCCTCCGTTCTCTGCTGTTGCCCTGGTTTCACATCCACATCAGCCTCTCCCATCCATGAGCTCTGAGCCAAGCCAAAAATCCTCATGAGCTCCCAGGGCCCATAAGTCCAATGAGCCCTGGAGGGGTCTACCAGCCAGCTTTGAGTCTCAGAGGCTGTCTAAAGAGCCTGAGTCCTAGAAGGGTGTCTGACGTCTTCCAGGGTGATCCATACCTCTAAATGTGGCTTTGTGTTGAGAGGGTAGCTCTGAAATAAATCAGATCTCAATGACAAAACTTTTCTAAAAATGCCTGCTCCTACCTAGCCAGAAACTGCATTCTGCTGCCCAGTACTGCTAGAAAGAGTGTGGACACTCATCAAGAAAGCCGTAAGTGTAAGGGGACTTTGTGATGATCAAGTCTTTCCCCCTGGTTTTATGGATTAGGAAACTGTGGTCCAGAGAGGGATACAGATTTGCCTCAGGGACACAGGGAGCTGACCGGAGAGTTAGGACTAAACAAGGCACCCTGGCCGACTGTCCACCCTGATGCATTCTTAGGTGGAAAGGGAAGGAAGATGACCCTGAGTATAGGCCCTTCCCAGACTTGTTTCTAAGAAGAAACTAGAGAATGGCATATGGGAGTAATGAGCTTTGAAATGCCACCACTATGCTCTCTAGTAAAGCATGCCCTGTGACTAGCCATTCAGCTCAACAACTCCTTCTTTATTGTTACTTAAGAACACAATTGTTACTGTAAGCCTAAAACTGCTGTAAAAAATAAAGTCAATTTCAAAAAAGAAGATGATGGCAGCAACAGTGGTAGCAACAACAATAAGGGCATGGGAAGGAAGACACTCATGGAGGGAGGATGCTGAGAAGACACCTTCCTACCTATACTTACTGAAAACCACAAGAAAAAAAAGACATGCAAATTATTGAATGATTTGCAGAGGTACTATGCAATTTGTTCCCCAGAAAGTGGCTACTGGGAAACTGTTCTGATATGCTTCCAGGTGTGCCAGTGGCTAGTCTCCGGAAGGCACACTCATTCTGTACCTTCTATTTAAGGCTCCATCATGCATCATGAATCATGCATGTGGAGGGCTGGGACACCTTCATGATAGATCCCAAAAGCAGTATTAAAGTCTGCTTCCCGTGATGGGCGTTGAGATTCAGAGCTCACCTACAGTTCATTCCCACGTGCTCCATGAGGTCTGAATCAGTCTAAAGAGGCAAGAGTGGGAGCTGGGAGCCACCTTTCCTTTCCCAAGTCTAGAGAAAGTTCAGGGTGAGAATACTGATTGAGGAGTAAGAAAGAACCTTATGCAATGATCAGTTACTCTTTTAATTGAACTCATTTCAGGTGTAGACGACTGACCTGTTTTGATGTGTGGTAGCGCTGGGAGGAGGGGGGCTATCTGCTACTAGAATTGAAGGAGGAATTTACCATAGAGAGAGGCTGGAGTGGAGGGAGGACCAGCAGGTCAGAGAGGCAGAAGGTCCTCTAATTTTCTGAGTACACTTTCAGCTGCCAGGGTAAGAAGGAGCTGGTCTGGGCCAGGCGCAGTGGCTCACGCCTGTAATCCCAGCACTTTGGGAGGCCAAGATGGGTGGATCGCAAGGTCAGGAGTTCGAGACCAGCCTGACCAATATGGTGAAACCCCGTCTCTACTAAAATTACAAAAATTAGCCGGGTGTGGTGGCATCCACCTGCAATCCCAGCTACTCGGGAGGCTGAGGCAGAAGAATCACTTGAACCCGGGAGGCGGAGGTTGCAGTGAGCCGAGATCACGCCATTGCACTCCAGCCTGGGGACAGAGCGAGACTCCGTCTCAAAAAAAAAAAAAGAAGAAGAAGCTGATCTGCTGGAGTATATTTACCTCTCCACTGAGAATGCAGAATTTCTTAAGCTTATTTGAAGAATCTTTTGAAAATTAATAGTATCCTTTTCAGAAAAATGACTGGATGTGATCATTTCTGCCTTTATGCAGAGATCCATCTTCATATGTCAGCACCTCGATTTTAAGATTCACCTGCTGGAGTTCATCTCCTAGAAAGTGTTAGCACTACTTTATTTGGGGGGGTAACAGTGGCGTCCCCCACAGGTCAGAGATGTCTTATTTGTCCCCAGGTGGCTGTGGTGCTTCTCTCCTTCATTGTGTCTGGTCCTCTCCGAGACCTGGCTTGGTTTCTTCCCCCTCTGCCCTCCTATTCAGGGCTCTGTGCCTCCCCAGAGCCTTCCTGGCTATGCAGGGGTGCACCTGGACACTTCATCTTCACTTACTGCTTTATGCCCCAGATGGGGGGCCCCAGGAGTCCTGTGGCAGGGAAGGTGAGAGGAGCCGGAAGCCAGAGCTGGTGAATGTGCAGATATGGAGGAGGCAAAACTCCAAGTGAGTGTTTGTAAAAGCTTCACTAAAGTGTTCTCGTAAGATTAGCAGGAGGAAAAATGAGAAGCTTTGGGGCTAGGAACAAGGGTGAGATAACCTTAAGAAAAAAAATGGATTAAGGAAGACATATTTAGAAACTCGAAGTTTCCTCTTTTTTTGTCCTCCATTCTCACTGCTAATAAGGAGTGAGATCCCCATTGCCACAGAAGTGTGGGAACAGACCTTCTCACCTGTAGGTTTCCTTCCTTATGCAGAGCCCCCAGGGCTGAGGATTTACTCTACGTTAGAAAATCACAGCCTCTACCAACATTTATAGATGTAGTATACAACGACAAGGACAGAACTAGTCATGTTGGTTGAAAATAGGGCCTTTCTCTAGTTCTGTGACCTTGTCTGGAGCCAGATGTCACTGTAAACAGGGGATCAAATGTAATGATTAAGTGTCGACAGATGCAAAGGTAGTCTTTCAGTGGCTGTCAGGAAGGGTTGCCAAGAATGGAGTGGACTCACAGGCTAAGTACACTGGGAGCCTGTGAGAACCCAGCAGCAAGCTCTGGGAGAGAGCCACCGCTCCACAGCACTTAGTGAGGAGGGGAGCTTTCTTCCTGAGTTAGAACAATGGCTTGGAAGTCAGGAAACCTAGGGTCTAGTTCCAGCTGAACCACTAACTAGCAACAAGCCATGTGCAAGTCACTGGAAAGGCAGGGGTTACATTTGGTCAGGGATGGCAAATGTGTGGCACACACACCCTTCCCCGTCTTGTGCCTTCATTAGAGGCTCTTGTTCAACCATATCACTGTCCAGAATTTTTTTTCTACAGCATTTTGGGTAGGCACTTCCTTTTTTTTTTTTTTTTTTTGAGACAGAGTTTCACTTTTATTGCCCAGGCTGGAGTGAAGCAGCACCATCTCAGCTCACTGCAACCTCCGCCTCCCAGGTTCAAGTGATTCTCCTGCCTCAGCCTCCCTAGTAGCTGGATTACAGGCACCCACCACCATGCCCCACTAATTTTTGTATTTTTAGTAGAGATGGGGTTTCACCATGCTGCCCAGGCTGGTCTCGAACTCCTGACCTCAGGTGATCCACCCGCCTCAGCCTCCCAAAATGCTGGGATTACAGGTGTAAGCCACCATGCCCGACCGGCACTTCCAATTAGAGTTGGTACACAAACTGAAATCTACTTGCTATCCCTCAATTCCATGCTCTCCAAAGTCACTTCTAGCTCTAAAATGTAAGATTCTGACTTTCCAACTAAGAGGTGCCCATTTTTCTGATTTAGTAATAGCTTACTCAAAAAAAAAAAAAAAAAAAAGGAGAATGGAAATTTAGGATCATCATTTCATTGACTCCTCTTCCTCATCCTGAGGCTAAGCAGGGTCTTCCTGAGGTTGCACTCACCTTCCTTCTGTGCCACAGAATGACTGTATTTGAGCTTCACCCCTCTGTCAGTTCACCCTGCATGGCAGTGTCCCAGGCTGTTGCTCCCTTTTGTCTAGAACAGCCCACACTTAATAGTTTTAGGTTTGGCATCAAGGAATCTACAAGGAAAGGAATTTTCTCAAGCCACTAAAATCCAAGTCAGAAGGGAAAGCATTTAATTACTTCATTCACCGTTCTCCAAAGTGAATCAGATTTACAGTTCTTACCCCTTGCTGGAAGGCAATGCCAGAAACAGTACGTAGACAGAACCGCTTCAGAAATCAAGTGCCTGCAACTGTGTTTTATTGAAAGAAAGAGTGGAGGGGTTAACATGGGGCCCACCTCACAACCCACTCTTCACCCCCAAAATCACGCAGGGGTGGGACTCAGGAAAAGGAAGCATGAGCGTGTTGACTAGGAGCCCTACTGGAGTTACTTCTTTCACAGCAGGGAAGGAAGAGGGAAGAGGCAGCTGTGGAAAGGATGAGGCTGAGGGAGGTGGGGTATCTCGCTGCTCTGACCTTAGGTTGAGTCCTCCACAGAAGCATCGAAGTGGACTGGCACATATGGGCTCCCTTCACAGGCCACAATGATGCGTCTCTCCTTCGGGCTGGTCCGGTATGCACAGTTGGGGTACCTGGAGCCGTTTGTCAGGCGGCAGTCTGTGATGTGCATGCTGGACTTGCTCTTGAAGCAGTTGGTCTGCCCGTTCTTGCAGGTGACCTTTTCCTGGAAGCAGACATTCTGGACATCTACCAGGGGCTCGTGCACAAAGGTGTTCACTGGTTTGCACCGCCCGTGTGTCATACTCCGGCGCTTCATCATTTGGTTGCAGTAGGTGGAGTTGCTGCTGGGGGAACTGCCTGAGTCCATGTGCTGCCGCTGGAATTTCTTGGCCCGGGATTCCCTGCCCAGGCAGCCCAGCACCAGCAGCACCAGGACAAGCAGAGGGAGCAGGATGACAGACTTATCCAGAGCCATGGTGGCCTCACTTTCCCGGAAAAGCCTAATTGAGAAAAGGAGACAGAAGGAAAAGAGCCCTCTTAGAAAAAGAACTCCAGCTCCCACCTATGGCTTCCCTGGCTTACAGTTTCTGTCTCAGGTCAACCAGAAAGATGTCCGTCCCACTTCCTGAGGTTTTTTGTGTAATGAGACACTCACGTGTATCCTTCTCCACAAGCGTTTTATTGCCACTCTCCAAAGCGAGGTCTTTTTCCCCTTTAGGTGGTGACCCAGGAAGTGACCTAAAATCCTGTAAGTTTCTATCTTTGAATACTGGTGTTTCTTTGATCCAAAATACATTTGTATCCAGTGCTCAAATGGCTCATCGAAATATCAGTTTGAATAAATCATGAACCAGATTGTATCCCCAACATCTAGGACCATGGGTGACAGAGTCTTGTTGTCTTACAGCATAAGGGAACTCAGGCCAGTGCCTGACACTGGCATCATAAAGGATTCCATTGTATTCCAAAGAGAAATGCTGGCTTCCCCCAACTTGAGGGCTCCTTCTTTTCCAGTTCCATGGATGCTCTGCAGCCTGCATGTTCCACCCCGACCCCTCTGCTTCCAGCTGATGTTTGCCTGGGCCACATTTTTTCAGCGCTAGCATCATCCAAGCTTTCTCAGTGCTGTGGACTGGCCCTAGCTTCTTCCTCTCCAACCCTGAAGCAGAAGCGGCACCTGAGAACACCTCTTGGACTGCTTACCTGGATCTGCAGCTTGGTGTCTGAGAGAGATGGAAGGCCAGTTTCTGCAGTCACTCAGCTCCTGGGGTATGGACCTTATACAGATTACAAAAGGGTTTGGCTTCCAAGAGGAAAAGGGTGGGAGGAGCATATCGAACTCAGTTGAAATAAAATCAAGGACGTGAGGAAGGAGTGGTGAATCACCCAGGCCACCATCTTTCCAGGGCTGCTGAAAAAGAGCAAATCTTTGCCTACATTAGTCTTTCTTCCTATGTAAACCACATCTGTCTGCTGATGCACAAGGAGCAGCAGAGAAAGCCACTACAGCACTGGTGCCCAAACCTGACCCACTAGGGACAAAGTCCTTGTTACTTCTTTGTGGGCCGTTTTCACCAAGTAGACTTGGAGGTTAACAAAGGACGCAAAAGGTGATCACGGGAAAGGGAGGCCCTCTCCTCAGGAGAGGTACTGATGGGAGATGTGGAATTCTGGCCAAGGCTATTCCAGGGCTCCTAGGGAGCAAAACCCAAGTCTCTTTCTAGGAAGGCATTCTCCCAACAGTACCTCTCCTGGGGGTGGGAGGTGGGCTCGGGGGGAATGGAGGCTGTCCTGCTGCCCCCAGCTGGAAGGCTTCCCAGATCTGGAGAAGAAACGGGGAGTAACTGAATAGGGAGGAGGAGGAGGCTTCTAGGGTGAGCTCACCCAGTTCTGGTCACTTCCTGCCCACCCTCCTCCCCTGCTCTGGGGGCATCGAGAGGATGGAGCTGTTCTTATCTACTGATCAGAACCACTGGTAGGTGGGAATTGAGTAGAGAAACTGAAGATAAACTTAAATCCCAAATCTCAAATTCTTTTTGGGTAAAAAATACAAAGCATATCATATTTGTTAGCAGCAGAATGCACTCCTAGAAAGAGACCTGTTCTTTTGCTGAGTAACAATTTGGATACCTGTGGAGTAAGAATTATCAAAATATCCCTTCGTGCTCTGTATTCAGACTGTTTCAGCCTTTCTGTGTAAAAAGTGGCCATGGTGAAATTATCTGACCTACGTTGTGTGGTTGTAGGTCATAAGATCCTCATTCCAGAGAAGGTCCTGCCCCCCATACCCAGAAAAAAGAACGAATGCTCAGGGAGGCCAAGAAGAATCTAGACAGGGAGGCCTTGCTGGGTTTCCCCACTCAGTCTATTTTCATTAGATCTCACCCCTGTTGTCCAATCACATTTCTACACAGCTGTTCATACTTTGTTGATACCTAAGTGTAAAAATGCCCACTTTCCCCTCTATCTTTGGGTCTTCTGAAGACCCCCGTGTTGTGTTAAGGAAGGAGACCACTACTACTCCTGCTGCCCTCCTCCCCCCACCTTGCCTAGTTCACAAGACAGGAAGAAACAGACAAAGAAACAAAAGTAAGATAAACAGCCAGACAACCTTGGCACCACCACCCGGCCCTAGGAGTTAAAAAAAGTAATAATAATAACATCAACCCCTGACCTAAACTACTTGTGTTATCTGTAAATTCCAGACACTGTATGAAAAAAGCATTGTAAAACTTTTTGTTCTGTTAGCTGATGCATGTAGCCCCCAGTCACGTTTCCCACGCTTGCTCAGTTTATCACGACCCTTTCACGTGGACTCCTTAAGGTTGTAAGCCTTTAAAAAGGCCAAGTATTTCTTTTTCGGGGAGCTCAGCTCTTAAGATGCAAGTCTGCTGATGCTCCCGGCCGAATAAAAAACCTCTTCCTTCTTTAATCCCGTGTCTGAGGAGTTTTGTCTGCGGTTCGTCCTGCTACAGTGTAAAACTCTGATAAATAAAATTGTATGCAGTTTTCCCTATTAAACTGTCTTTTGTCAGTTGATTTTCAGCGAACCTTCGGAGGGTGAAAGGGGAATTTTTTCTTGGCTCCTATAGTTTGCTTACTCCCCCAGCCCCTACCTATATTTTATTTTTCTGAGTCTTAAATAATACTTTCATTATCTTGAATAGTCAAGTTAGAATGTGTTCATTCATTCATTCAACTGTGGGATACAGACATAGATAAGGCACAGGACTTACCCGAAAGGCGCCTGGTGGGATGGTTTGGGTTAGTCAGGTGGACCCCACTAAGGCACTGGGCGTGGCTGCACAAAAGTGGCCTCCACCCAGCAAGATGATTGCAGAACCACAGTTCAGATGTGAACAGATATTCTGTAACTATAATAAGGCTCTTCAACAGCCCCTGGCCCTAGGAATCCTGAAACTACAGGAAGCCATTTTGTCTATTTATGCATAGCAATCTAGACAAGCCCGTGGAGTTTTAACTGCACTTCATAGGGAACCATCAAAAGCCCTTACTGCAGCATTATCCTTGACCCAGTTGCAAAGGCATAGCCCCGCTTACTACTCATCTCTGCAGCAGACTGAATTCTGCCACCATCTGTCCCTACCGGAAGGGGAGCCTCTTGATTGTCTGACCTCAGCAGGGAACATTCAGCATGTCAGTCAGATTTATTAACAACTCCTATTGAGAACCCGGACCTAATATGATTTACTGATGGATCATACCACAAAATTGACACTTGAGGTTAGTACACTGAGGGAAGAAAAATCAACTCTTCCTTTACCCTCCTAGAGTCTAGGGCTGAGGGCTCTGTAAACTAAAATGACAAAAGACAGATTTAACAGGAGAAAAGGCATAAAAATTTAATTTAATATTAATATTCGACATGAATGTGGAAGTCTTCATAAAAAAAGAAGTGAAGACTCAAAGAAGCAATTAAACCTGAGAGTTTATAGGCCATTTTGACAAAGAAAATTGTGCAGAAGTGACAAGAAGACAGTGTTCCATGAAAGGGCCACATATGTGAAGTGGCCCCAAATGCTGAAGGAGCCTAGAAACTAAAAGAATGAGGCAGACAAATTCAATTTGTCAGTAAAGAGTGTTTTATTCTATTGGGGAACTTATAGACGGAAGTGTCGTCTTGGGCAGCAGCAATACAGGTAAATCTCAGCACTGCTATTCCCCAGACCCACAGCTTATATACCACAGGGAAAAGGGGTACGTGCTGTATAGAGACAATGAAAGGCAACCCTTCAGAACAGGCAACAATGCTGTATTTGTCACAGCCCATAATTTGCATGATAACGTCAAGGTTGTTTTGATCTCAAGGCAGGATTTATAGTGAATGCATTCAAGATGGAGTCACTTTTGTCTCTGCACATAGGAAAGGGGTTTTGAGCTTCAGGGGAGTTTGCGACAAGTGGACTAAGAAGTGTACAGTATATAAGGGTTGTTTAGTAAAGTTCGTTACGCAAATTCAAGTTGGTTGCCTTCTCCATTGATAAGTCCTCCTCTTCCTGGCACAGGAAAGGGAGACATCTGTACAAATGGGAATATACATGGAAATTTCTCTTACAAAAGGGAATCTTGGCTAGGTGTGGTAGCTCACGCCTGTAATCCCAGTCCTTTGAGAGACCAAGGCAGGCAGATTGCTTGAGTTTAGGAGTTTGAGACCAGTCTGGGCAACATGCGAAACCCTTTTTCTACAAAATATACAAAACTAGCCAGGCATGGTGGCACACTCCTATAGCCTCAGCTTCTCAGGGGGCTGAGGTGGGAGAACGTTGGAGGTGGAGGCTGCAGTGAGTCATGATTATACCACTGTACTCCAGCCTGGGTGACGGAGAGAGACTCTGTTTCAAAGAAAAAAAAAAAAAGGAAATTTATAGTTCTTTCACAGCAGGGAAGGAAGAGGGGAGAGGCAGCTGTGGAAATGATGAGTCCTGTTTTTCGAGTTTTTCCTGCATTTACTGTTTTTCAAAATAATCAGCTCAAAATTATTGAGCTGGCATATTCTGGTTCCCTATGTTATTAGTAGGCTATGCTATCCCTATTTTAAACTCTCCTTAAGAAAAAGTCTACTACCTGTAGTAAAATCAGCCCAGATAGCAAAATGTATTGCATTTACTAGAATTTGTCAACTAAACAAGGACCAGAGAGCAAACATATGTACAGACTGCAGGTATGCTTTTGGAATAGCATATGATTTTGAGATGCTTTGAAAATAGGCATTAGAAGGCTGGGTGTGGTAGCTCATGCCTGTAATCTCAGCACTTTGGGAGGCCGAGGCGGGTAGATCACCTGAGGTTGGGAGTTCGAGACCAGCCTGACCAGCATAGAGAAACCCTGTCTGTACTAAACACACAAAATTAGCCGGGCGTGGTGGCACACGCCTGTAATCCCAGCTACTCAGGAAGGCTGAGGCAGGAGAATCACTTGAACCCAGGAGGCAGAGGTTGTGGTGAGCCGAGATCGCACCATTGCACTCCAGCCTGGGCAACACGAGCAAAATCTCTGTCTGAAAAAAAAAAAGAAAAAAGAAAGAAAATAGGCATTAGAAATGGACAGCAAGTTAAGTAGCTTTCAGATGCACCCCCACTTTCTAGAGAGGTGGCTATTATATAGGTAGAGGTCCACATAAAAAGAGACAATATGAAAACTAAAGGAAATTCTCTAGCAAATCATTATGCCAAAGAAGCTACTTTAACCAAGCTTGTGACTCTATCTATGCCTTTAAAGGATAAATCTCTGGGGGATTCAAAGAGGCCATTATAAAGTGTTGACTGATTTTGAAAAAGAATGGAAAACATCTAGTTGTACTCTTCACTCAGATGATTCCTGATGCTGCTTGGTGACACCCAGATGATCTCAAGTAGATATTACTAAAGGAGTTCAAAACACACCACCCCAAAATATGCCATTCTGGCATATGGATTATTTTGAATTAAAAGCCCTTGAAAAACAGCAGATGCAAGAACAGCAGATGACGCATGGCCCAAAAGTAAGCTCAGTGAAGGAAGACATTCTTATCACCAGAAATGGGGGCAGCTGAGGTTGACAGAAAACTGCAAATAAACCTTGTTAAACTAGCCCTTATCTCCCTAGCCACTTCTCCATAATTAACAACCCTAGCCCATATCCCTTTGACTTGTTTTCACAATTTACTGCTCTTTGT